CTAAGAGTGTGTTTGAGATCCGCAGTTTTCTAGGATTGGCTGGGTATTACCGTCGGTTTGTGAAGGATTTCTCCAGGTTAGCGTCACCGTTGACTAGACTGACTCGGAAGGGAGTTTGAAAATGTTCTAGTGATGAACTATAATCTCATCAAAATGTTTTGGCCAGAGTACTGAGCCTTGTTTTCAAACTCAAAGTTGAATAAGAAATGAAAAGTGAATTGTAACATAGGTTTGGTTGTCATGGAATTGAAATAAGATGTAAATGGAAGTGTAAGTATCGGCCATCTATCAGTTGCTAATCTTTTAATCATTGTTCATAGTTGGTTTAGTATATCTCTGCTGGGCTGTGGCTCACCCTATATGGGAACATCATTTTCAGGTACAGGTAGCATGCCGCCTCTAAGGACATAGCTTGGGAGGCTAGGGGCAAGACATACTTTTGTTGCCTTATTTTCCTTTTGATGTATTACATGTAAATTCAAGCCAAGGGCTTAATGTGTAACCGAGTTAATACTCTCTTTTGTAACCAAGTGATAACTTGGAAAGCTGTAAGCCCGTAGGGCATTTACTTTTGTTGTTAACGTGTAATACTTTTGTAATGAAGTACTCTGATTATTTGAGGGAATGTGGATCTTTTGTATATAAATGTATGTTTATATTGATGGGTTTAATATTATTTTTTTGAGGGCGTGACACAATGATTGCATGTTGTATAGGAATGAGCACAAAATTGATTCTGAATGTTATGTTTGCCATACATCTAGGTATGTAACAGAGCAAAATGATTCAGGCAACGAGGCATCCTCTAAAAAAGGCAGCTATAAAACACCTTCTAAGGTTCTACATTACTTTCCTTTGATACCAAGGCTACAAAGGTTATTCATGTCATCCAAAACAGCATCATCTATGAAGTGGCATAAAAAAGATCGCACCAATGACGGTTGTATGAGACATCCTGCCGATTCTCCAACTTAGATGACTTTTGACCACCTACATCCTAATTTCGCAGCAGATTGTAGAAATGTCAGACTTGGGTTGGCGTGTGATGGCGTGAACCCTTTTAGAACATTGAGCAGCACGTATAGCACCTGGCCTGTAATTCTTATACCATATAATTTGCCTCCATGGATGTGTATGAAGCAGACCAATTTTCTATTATCATTGATTATCCCTGGTCGTAGTGCACCTGGAAATAATATTGATGTATATTTGCAACCTTTAATAGATGAATTAAAGGAATTATGGGTGGATGGAGTAGAGACATATGATGCATCAATTAAACAAAATTTCCAATTGCGTGCAGCATTAATGTGGACTATCAACGACTTCCCTGCTTATGCTTATTTGTCAGGGTGGAGTACTAAGAGGAAGTATGCATGCCCTTCATGCCACAAAGACACATTCTTCCAGTGGTTGAAGCATGGCCAAAAACATTGTTACATGGGTCATCGTCGATTCTTGGACAAACATCATGCATTTCGAGATGATGAGCGATCTTTTGATGGTACTAAAGAAAAAAGAACTGGACCCAATCCTTTAACTGGTTCTATAGTATTGGATATGTTACATGGCTTCAATATCACTTATGGAAAGATGAGTACTAATCCAGAATTACCATATAATTGGAAGAAAAGAAGCATATTCTTTGAATTACCATATTGGAAGGATAATCTATTGCGTCACAATCTTGATATGATGCACATTGAGAAAAATGTATGTGAGAGCTTGCTTGGAACACTACTGAATTTAGAGGGGAAGACAAAGGATAATCTAAATGCACGTCTTGACTTGAAACTTCAAGGTATAAGTCCTGAACTCCATCCAAAAGAAAATGCAGCAAATAAAACCATCTTGCCTCCTTCTTGTTTCTCATTAAAGAAACAAGAAAAAGATGTTTTTTGTAAATTTTTGAAGACTGTTAAAGTTCCTGATGGTTATGCAGCGAATATTTCACGATGCATCGACTTAAAGCAACATAGAATCTTTGGACTTAAAAGTCATGATTGCCATATTTTGATGCAACAATTACTCCCTTTAGCAATTCGAGGAATGTTGAGTTCACATGTAACTTCACCTTTGATTGAGTTGAGTAATTTCTTTCGAGAGTTATGTTCTAAAGTTGGTTTGGCACAAGACTTTATGCGTCTTGAAAAGCAAATTCTGATAACACTTTGTAAGTTTGAAAAAATATTTCCCCCTAACTTTTTTGACATTATGGTGCATTTGGTGGTTCACTTAGCATCTGAAGCTAGATTAGCAGGACCTGTGAATTAACGTTGGATGTATTCTGTTGAGAGGTAATGTTTATATTAAAATACATATTTCTTTACCATCATTATTATATTTTACTTTTGTTATTATCGAACTTGAGTTAAACTTTTGTTTTTTGAACTTTCCAAAGCATAGGTACTTGAGTAGATTAAAGTCATATGTGCGAAATAGAAGTCAACCAGAGGGTAGTATGGCAAAAGGATACCTTGCAAATGAATGCTTGACATTTTGCTCGAGGTATATGGAAGGTGTTAAGACACGGTTCAACTGGATGTCTCGAAATTATGATGAGGGGGGTAATGGTACCGAAGGATTATTTATTTTCTCAATGCCTGGCCGACCATTAGGTAAGGGCGTGATAGACACAATGGATGATGGCACAAAAGAAAAGGCACATCGATATGTGCTATTTAATTGTGAGACAGTCAACAAATTTATTGAGTAAGACACTCGCCATTTGTAATCAATTTCATTATTATTATTATTATTATTTTACATACTTTTTTCACACACTCACAAATCTTTTATATGTCATACAGACAACACCGTAGACTTGTTGCCATACAAAATCCACGTCTTCGTGAAATGGCCATTGATCGCATTCATAGTGAAACATTTCCAACATGGCTTGATAAACATGTAAGCAGTGTTTTGAAGTTCCTTAAAATTTGATTTGATATTAACTTCAATTTCATTCCACACTTACAGAAGTTATGTCGTCAATTATCTGAAAACAGGTTGAGGAATTGCATAATGCAGGGGATAGTCAAATAACTGAAGAGCTTAGATGTTTGGCTCATGGTCCAAATAGAATTTTCACAAAATATAAGCGATACTTGATAAATGGTTTGAGGTTCCATACTAAGGAGATTGAGCGAAAGAGAAAAACTCAAAATAGTGGGATTATTGTCACGGCAAAAACACGAAGCTTTGCAAGTGATAGAGATGGAAATCCGGTCTCTGGAGATGTTACATTTTATGGCATGTTAACAGATATAATTGAGTTAGATTACTTGTTTGGGAAGAGGGTTGTGTTATTTAATGGTGAATGGGTGTCACAATCAGGGAAAAGACAAGATAAAGATTGCACACTAGTCAACTTTGCACGATTAATGAAAGATGCTAAGCCTTTTGTGTTGGCTTCTCAAGCAGAACATGTAATGTATGTAGAAGACCTGAAACACAAAGATTGGCAAGTTGCTATCAAGATAAATCCGAGAGATTTTTATGATATGAATGTGGGGTCTTCTGTGGACAATGTGGAGGCATACTTGCAGAGTGTGGTATGTAATACACAAAATGGTGATGGGGACAATAATTTTGATTTGGTTTGGACAGACATGTCTGCTGCAATTGTAGATGCACCACTTTCTCAGGTGTTGAGAGACAACGATGTTCATGATGATGGAGATGAGGAAGAATTAGATCTTATGTGACTGTTAAACTTATTGAACATTGCTAGTTATTTATATTTGAAAACAATTCTATAGTTTCATTTTGTTCTCTTTCTTTATCATTGTTTTTGTTAATTTAGTTTGATTGTTTGAAGAATGAATAATGCATTTTTAATTTAACTATGTGATTTTCATATGTGGCTACAAAATATTTATTCACTATATGTTACATTTAGTCACTACCAAGATAGCAACGCAATAAAGGTGAATTCACAAATTTTTTTTTTGTTAATTTTCTTCAAGTATTTTGTTCATTTGCAGATAATTTATTTGGATCATTTTAAGTTTACAATTTGATTTGTCTATTTTACTTGAATCATACTAGGATTCATCTATAAAGCAAAAAGCCTATGGACCCATATCTTCAGTTTCGCTCAGGCAATGTTGGTGAGTTTAGTGAGTCAACTCTATCTGAGATACAGGCAAATTCTAGTCAACCCAATGATAATGCAGGTATGCAAGTTCAAACCTTATAAAAATGTTATTATTTCTTCGTATATAATTTATTATTAGTATTATTATTATTATTTTTTTTATAACTAGATGGTGCTAGTGGACAAAAGAAAACTAAAGGTCCCACTCAAATGCGTAATATTTGGGGTACTTGTGATGATGAGCGCTTAACAGTCAATTGGAACAAACTTGGCCAACCTGATGACAAATTGGCAACAAAGTTATCATCATTCATTGGAACTATTGTGCGTGATGGGAAAAATGCACCACTCATTTACAAGAATTGGCATGAAGTCCCAGAACATTACAAAGATCACATATGGGCACTTGTATAGGTAAATGACACAATATTGTGCGAAAGATGATCACATGTGAAAAATAGTACACATGAGTAATGTGATTAAAACAACACTATTTATAATTTTGTTTATTTTTAATTTTTTATGCCGGAAGATTAATTTTTTATCATTGTATTCTTCTCTCTCTCTCTCTCTTGCTCTTTTTCTCTCTCTTTTCAGTCAAAGTTTGATCTTCCAAGTCATGCTAGGAAGTGGGTTATGAAGTGCTCTGGTAAGAAGTTAAAAGACTGGAAGGCAAACATAAAGAAAAATTATTATAAGAACCACTTGAGTTTTGACCAACAAAAGCATTATAAAGATAGTAGAGTATATGCTGATCAATGGGAACACCTTATTAAGTATTGGGCCATCGAAGAAGTAAAGGTATACTCGATCTGATCATTTTATGTTATTTTACTTGCTGTAGTTTGGACACCATTAATTTATGCATTTGTAATTTTAGGCACAAAGTGATAAGAACAAAGCAAGTCGTGCAGAGCGAAAGTATAATCATACTACTGGAACAAAAAGTTTTCCACGTATTCGAAAGGAGCAGGTTAATTTATCTTTTCATGTTGTATATTTAATATGATAAGGTATACATAATGTGACAGAATGATATAATTTATATTTTGAAATATATTATTTTGTAGAAAAATAAGTTGGGACACTCTCCAACTCGTGCTCACATGTTTAAAGTATGTTATACAAAGGAGACTGGAAACCCTGAGGCAACGAAAGCAATGATAGTATGTACCAAATAATTATATGTCCATTTGAACTTGTAGATTAGTTAAAGTTTCCACATTATAGTGTTGAGTTATTGAAATGTATATATTAAGTTATGTTTTTGCAACCTTATAGGATGAAATGAATGAGAGGACAACCTTAAATGAAAATTTATCGAATAAGGGCCCAAATGATGCATTTGGACAAGCGATGGGTAAAGAAAAACATGGACGAGTTCGCATGTATGGATTAGGTGTCTCCCCGTCTAATTTATGGAGAGATACATCTTGTCATAAAGCAAACCAAGACACAACAATGGATGTTATGGAAGCTGAAAATTCGGAGCTAAGGTCCAAAGTTTCCCATGTTCAGCATGCTCCGAATAACTTGACAAACACATCTAATCAGGTAATTTTTTTTAATAGAATTTATAAGTTATTAATGTTTTCCTACACTTATATATGCATACATATATCTATGTGTGTGTGTTTGTAAAATTAAATAGTTCAAATTTGGTTAGGCCACAATAACTTTTACTCCTCTCAACATGGCAGCTCGACATCAAGCATGGTCTTTGTCATCGACACAAGATACTTCTCTTACTTAGGTACATACTAAGAGCTAATCATAGATATCACATTACTTCCAACTTTATTTTAGAATAGCATGCAACACTTATTTTACAATTAACCAAGGAATGAATATTACTGACATATATTTCATTATTTAAATCTAAACAAAATATGCTACATAGTCTAAATCATGACATGACGAAGTTTGTGCTTTTTTTAAAAAAAAAATTAATTTAATTTTCTTCTAAAGCTGTACCAAGAAATCTCCCCATCATTTATTACCGCATGGGCTCTTTCTGATTCTCTCAAAATATTGCTTGAAAGTAATTAGTTGATTGTCATTTTTCACAATTACATTTGATTTACATCGTTGAGGTTAGGGGATCCTGATATTGATAATGGACATGGTTTTGATTGTTGTTGATTGGTGCTTTTGGTTGTTATTGAATTTTTAAGCTATTGTTTGATATGGTCTAAAGATTTATGGTTGTTACTTTTATATAATTTGTTGTAGTGTAGTGAACCAATTAAGTGATTAAAGCATTTGGCTTGCTTATCTACTAGAGAAATCCATATCACTTTTAGTTGTGATCATCTTCACTCTAGCACTTTGTACTAGTTTTTTTTAACTATTATTTATTAATTTTAAATATACAATTACTTAAGTAGTTAAATCTTGATTTATAGGTGGGAGGTATATTTGTTCTAAAAAGTATCATTAGGCCAACAGAAACAATTGCAATCGGAGTACTTAAAAGCACATACGCATCTAAAGAAGTAGAAGGGGAAGAACTGGGACCTGACTATTGGGAGGTACATGTTCAAGTGCCAATCAAACCTAATGAGAGCTTGATCTGATCATATGGACTTGTCAAAACAGTTGGACAAGCTATTGGAGCTCATGTTGCTTGGCCTGCTCCATTTGTGGTATATTTCTTTCGTAAATACTAATTTCATTAACAAATTTATATTAACTTAATATAGTTTCAATTACCTTCATATGTTTATCTTTTGGATGCAGATTTCACAAGTTATGGATGCTAGCCGAGAATATTTATACAAGTGAGGTTGAGAATTTGGGAACTGATTTTATTTTTGATAATTTTTCTCGCCGGAATATGGATATCACTATGGCTTTTCAAAACTTATGGTTAGAATAATTTTCTTTTGAATTGTTTTTGCTTTAACTTTGTTAGTGTGGTAGAATATTTTATAATTTTGGCAATGGATTTTTTTTGCAATATAAATAAATTTATATTTCAATAATAAATAATTGATTGTGGTTTGAATTTTTTTATTTTTGATGTGATGATCTTATGGTGGTAATATTTGTTTATTATTATGAAAATATTACAGGATGAATAGATGTCAAATTAATATATGATGTGGCAATTAATATTTAATTGTTTATAAAATCGATTCAATTTTTATAGGTATTTACGCATGCATAATTGTAGCTTTTAGAAGTGTCAATTAAAAAAATATATAAGTGGCATTTTGTAGTAGTGATAGTAGCTTTGCAAAGTGTCACTAAAATAAGTTCTAATGGCACTTATATTTATTTAACGGCACAAATGAATTGGATTTAGTGGCATTTATGAAGGTGTTATAAATATCAATTGTGGCATAATAAGCGTCATTAAAAATTCATATCGTGGCATTTTTTAGATTGCAAGTCTTCTTTAATGGCACTTGATAGCGTCACGAATAGTGCCTACCATGACATTAAAGTGTCACTGAAATGTTTTAGTCTTGATGGTGTAATGACACTTATAGGTGTCACTAACTCTTTTTTTAATGGCGCTTGATAGTGCCACAAGTAATATCTACCATGACATCAAAATGTCATTGAAAGTTTTTAGCCATGATGGTGTAGTGACACTTGCAAGTATCTACCGTGGCACCGATAGAAGTGGCACTTGTTCAAAATGCCACAAGACTAAAAAATGTCATTAGAAGAATAGTTTTGTGGCACTTTCAAATGTCACTAAACTAAGAAAATGTTGTAGTGATAGGTCCTATGATAATTAATGATATTTTTTATCAAACATTATTAAAAACATATTACTAATTGTTAATTTTCATCGACAGTTGGAAAATTGTCACAAAAAATGTCACTAAATATAAGTTTTAACGACAATTTAAAAAAATTGTCACAAAAAGTCACTAATTTTTAACTTTCAGCGACAGTTTGAAAATTCGTCACTGAAAAATATCACTAATTGTAAGTTTTACTGACAATTTATAAAAATCGTGACAAAAAATTCACTAATTGTCAATTTTTAGCGACATACAAAAAAGTCATCATAACAAATTATTTTTAGAAATGATTTTAGTAGAACTTATTTTTAATTGGATTTGAAGGGAATTAAATCCAACTTTAACATCTATTGGTAATTTATCTTTTATTTTACAATAAGACCAAAACACTCTTGCTATTTTTCCCTAGGAAATTATATTTCTACATACCTAATGATCTTAGTACACACATTTAATGAAATATTATTTTAATGGCAATTATATCCTAAATTAAAATGACCATAATGGACATCTACTAGTACCCATAATATTATATGAAAATATTTTTTTGTACACATCTTTTAAAAACAAAAAATCTCAATGTACACCTTTTGACTAAAAAAAAAATTGAACCCTAATTTTTCCATGTTGTCACTTCGCTTGCTACACACTCTATACTCCTCTGTTGCTTGCAAAACAATACTCTCATAACAACTCTTATATTATTTCAATTTCTAGATTTATACTCTATTAGTGATGAAAATGATAGTTTTTTCGTACATAATTTTTTTTTTTTTCCTTTAGTGGTTTTCAATCGAACAACCAGTGCTGAATTATTTCATTATATTCGGACATCAACTATAGAATTATTTCATTATATTCAGACATCAACAGTCAAAAGTTTTTATTTTTATTTTTTGGAAACAAATTTGTCGAACTAATCACTTTTATTCGGAAGTTAAGGCCTCGTTTGGCAAGTGGTTGTTTTAGCCTAAAAGCCAAAAAATTACTAAAAAAATCAAAAAGCCAGCAACTTATACTAAATAGTCAAAGATTCCCTTTTCTCTTTACTTTTTGCACATCTTTTCGTAAAAAGTCAAAAAGTCATCCCAAACATACTAGTTTTTTTTACCTCATATTTTAGTCAAAAAGTTACTAAAATAGTCTGTTCCCAAATGAGGCTTAAGTTTCGAATTAAATATATAGTTTCATAAAACCAATGCAGAAATCCCCAAACCAAAAAACATAAAACAAAATTTAAAAAAAGAAAAAAAAAAGATGGTTTTATGACAATGGAGTGCACAGAGATCTGAAAATAATAAATGCCATAACAAAATGGAAAGATGCCTCATCTTCAACAATATTTTGGAGGATTTTCAATGGTGTTTTTAATGGATGTTCAATAGGGTCTTTAATGGAGGATTTCAATGAAGGACTTTGTGTTCACTTCATTCCACCTCACTTCACACTGTGGTCTTGAATGGTCTTCACGTGAGTTTACAATGTGTCTTCAAATCTGGAAGCATGGTCACTCAACAAGTACGTGGAAATGAGAGTTAAGTAGTGTGTGTACAATGATTATAAGTGAATGGTATAATTGTAACTTTCAGCGTGTAGATTGAAAAAATTAATTAATAATTAAATTAATAAATGTGTATACTAAGAGAAGATGTGCACTAAGATAATTAAGTGTGTGAAAATAGAATGTCTCATTTTTCCCTCCATTTTGACCTTTCATCCTCTTTTTTTTTTTTTCAGTCTAATTCTATGTATTACAATGATGAGTCATTCATGTTGTAGATCTTTTGAGGTCTGAAGTTACTTCAATGAGCATACTTAGCTTTACTGGACATCTTGTTTGGATTTCTTAGTTTTTTTTTTTTAAAAAAAATGTTATTGTTCCGTAATTGTGGTTGGGTTGATTGAATTTTGTTCGATATTGGATTGACTGGTTATAAACAAAAAAGGATTATGACAAAAAAAAAAAAGAGATTTGACGACTAAAAAATTGGTCGGCAAATTCTACACTTTTGCGACTAAAATCATTGGTCGACAATTTCTTATCTTTTGGCGACTAAATTGGTAGTCGGCGATTTCTCGACTTTCGGCAACTAATCTATTTGGTCGCGGAATGTGACAATTGGCGACCAAAATTTTTGGTCGCAGAATGTCACGATTGGCGACCAAAATTTTTGGTCGTTGAATGTGATAATTGGCGACCAAACTTTTTGGTTGGGATAATATTACTTTTCGCGACCAAAGTGTTTTAGCGACTAAATGAATTAGTCGCGATAATGATATATATCGCGACCAAAAAATTTAGTCGACAAATCCGACTTTTCCCGACCAACCAAAATTTTGGTCGCGAATTACTTTTGCCGACCTTCAATTGGCGACCAAAGTAGCGACCAAAAAATTTGGTCGCGGCTAACTTTTGCAGACCAAAAATGGGCTTTTAGCGACCAATTTTTTGGTCGGCAAAAGTGTTAATTCTTGTAGTGTAAATTTCAATGGACATTCCATTCAATAAAATTGATGAATTTTTAAACAGGTCATGCTATGGGGTGTGTACCATATGCACTATGTTACATATTTTTATAGTGTATATTACACATTTTTATAGTAAATATTATGCAATCTTTTGGTAGATTTATGGTAATTTGTGATTAAAAATGAAATTGTAAAATTGTAAAAATTTTACAAAAATCAATTGCACAAATAATTCTTGAGAAAAAGAGGGAGAGAAGGATGAACTTGGCTTATTGTCGAATTTAAAAGTGGCAAAATGTTAAATGGGTGAGGAAGAGAAGATAGATTTGTCCTTGATATACACACAAATACATATACATACATATATATATATATCAATAATTTTTTTTGAAAATAATAACTGTAAATATTCCAACTAATAAAAGTAAG